AAAAAAAAAAAAAAAAAACACCGAAGCATCGATCAGAACAACAAACATTACCGGGTTGCTGTCAAGGAACTTAAATTAAGTTACTATGATAAGAAAAACCTGTTATTTACTATGTATCCAACTATGGGAACTTAACTTAAATTGCTTAACAGCAACCCAGATTACGTGGGGAGAAGCACGGATGCCTATTGCGGCGCAGAAGAAGGTGGTGGTCGACAGTGCCTCGGCTGAAAAGCTTCGGAGTTTGGAGGGAAATGGAATCAAATCGAAGGTCGAATGGAAAATGGAATGGGATCTTACTATTATTACCATATTACTTTTTTACTGTACTAGTGTTGTTATAGTACTAGCTATTAATTCGAAATAATAGTATCATTACCATTCTGGATTTACGCAGGGGTTTAGGGACCCATGGTCTCTTGTCGGATTCCTCTTCTGACTCCAGCCTGGAGCTTGAAAATCCAGGGGAGCATGAGCGCGGGTTCTGGGGTTCCAACGAATATTGTCGGACCGCAATCAAAGAGAGTCCATATGACTCAGGGTTCTGCAACACGGTTGCTGAGAGGGTTGAGCACCTACCATATTCTCATGTGCAGAAACGGGGTCTACTCTTCCTGGTCATCTTGGACACTCCCCCGCCAACGTTCTTGAAACATGCGTCGTATGCGACGTGCCTGCATGTGGTCTGAGGTCTGAGGACCCAGATCTTCCAGAAACGACTTGATCAACCCACTACGAAGTATACTGCTGCCAGGGGACCAAGACGCCGTAGAAAGACATCCTCAGCATCCATGCGATCGAGGGTCCAGGGAGATTTGGGTCTAGGCCAAGACCCCAAATCAGTGTCTCCTCCTCGTGTTTGGGAATGGGCTTATATGCTGATTGAACAGGATCGCGGCAGCGGGTCTTCAAGCTTACATTGCATGGAAGGAGGGAAGAGGAGCCAATCAGCACTGATGCCAGGTGATTTGTCAATGCTGAACGCCGCTTGCCGAGCCACTTGTGCTGCATCAGTGCGCCAACCACAGAGAAGACCTCATTTTGGAGTTGGTTTGGAATTCCCAGGAGTGGGTGGCATCTGAGTGCTTTCCATCTCACAAGAAGGACGGGTGGACCAAGCGTGGTTGAGGGATTTCATCTCAAGTCTGGGCTGCAGCTCCTTGACCTCTAGCGGCTCTACACAACAGCACAGGATCTCAGGAAGTGCCCTAGTGCCTTCGTCCGAACCTTCCATCTCAGATCTCAAAAAGCTGTAGCAGAAGTCTGAAACCACCATGAGATAATTCAACTTTTTTCTAGTGGTACCCCGCCCAGCTCATTCTCCTTCAGGTTTGGGAACTTTCGTAGCTCCAGGTGCAACAACCCAAAGCATCAGTGCCGTTCTTGAACCCTAAACCCTAAAAAGTAGCTTCCATTTTTTTGTCATTCCCAATATAGCCTTCAAACCTCCCGGGTCCTAAGCTTTCTGCCCCATGAGGTTTGAAGCCCAAGCTCCAAAGCCTACAAACGCCGGCCTCCAAACGTCACCCACCGGTCTCAAGAGTTCCCTAGGATTCCAGGATAATCTGTATCAGGACTACAATATCTCATCAGGGATTCTGACATTTCAGATAAACTATGCTGCGCGCCCCGGTTCTTGAGAGTTTCAGCAAATGTTCTGTGTGATTCCTGAAGGGACCCTACGATTGCATTGACCTTCCCATCCCCTGTTCTGAGAAACCACACCAAATCCCAAACCCTAAACCCCAAGATCGCCCTTTCTTGCTGCAAAATCCAGTGGCGATTGCTGTGCTGCACAGGAAAGCTCCCAACACACAGGCCTGTTGTGGCGAAGGGGATACAGATTTTAGGCTTTAGGGCTTAAGGGTAACTACCCGTGAACTAATAGGTATAGTATGGCCCATAGAACTGTAAGTAATTGGGATTGCAGGTAGGGGTCTGGGGCAGGTGGGTGGCAGTTTCAACAGTTTCAAACGCCCCCATTGCCGCATTCAAAGGCTCGGGTGTTTTGGAACCAAAGATTCTAAGGCCTAATGTTGAGGGTGAAGGGGCTCAAGAATCTTGAGCTGGGGCTGTCTGCAGAGTTTCGCACAAGTTTGGTTCTGTTCGGTATTTTGTTTTGGGGGTTCCCAACAGACAGTTTAGAGTTTCGCTCGTGGCCTTCGGCCTAATGCTTCCGCAATACCAGGAACTCAGTCTGATGAATATCTGCCGTGGGCCCTCTCTGTAGGTAAAGAGCGTTCGACGTTTTGAATGTATTGTGTAGCATGCTATTTGGCACGAAAGCGTGTAAAAACACAACCCATCTATGTCCCTTACCGAGATATCCTAAGTCCTACAACAAAAACTAGTTTCAAGACATGTGCAGCCTCGGCTGCCCGAACATGACGATGCTACAGTAGGACCACGTGGAGACATCATGATAACGGCCCGTCTTCTTGTGCCTCCCTATAATCCCTAAAGCACCTTGGCCATTCCGGATCCATTGAGCAGCTCCCTCCAAACGCGCCTTCGGGGAAGCGAGGCTGGTGTAGTTGTGGGTTCAGATGAAAATAACTCTGCACTGTTCCCCGGGCTGTGCAAAATCCAGGAGCTGCACGTGTGCACTCATGAAACCACGCTACACATAGCTGCCGCATGGGCGTTCTGTGTGGGGTCAGATTGCCGCTTTAACCCATGAGCCAAGGCCCGTACTGGGAGACGTCCGCCATGGCCGAGGTTTCCAAAAGCGAGGAGGTACCTTCGAAGCACGCCGCACATGATGGGATCCAAAGCGTCCACAGCTGCATCACGCCACACAGAAAAAGGCTCTGTATCTAACTCATTCCAAATCCGCGGATGATAAACATGGCGCATGAGACTGCCGCAAACAAACACTTTGAGCTCTCCAGGTTGCGGTAGCGGCCGCGCACGGCGATAAAGGCCAACACCTTAGCCACAGCAAATAGAAAGACTGCTTCCAACACAGAGTCAATCACCGATGATCCCTTTCTCAGGAGGAGGTTATGCTGACGATCTTGGCGCGCACGTTGAGACGTACAGGGGCTTGAGTATCGACACACTTGTCAGCTTTACTAGCAAGGAAGGATGAAAGATGATAAAAGTGTGAGTGCCGAACATCACCCACATAACTGCCCGAGTATGGCAACGGACCCTGCTTCCACAAAATCACTCCTTGTCGGATTGAAATCGATTGGAGCCCAGTGCAACGCTAGTAATCAAGAGGCGGCAACGGCCATGCACGCAGAAGCCAGGAAGTAGGCTGCAAAGTACCCATACTCCTCCACAGCTGCAGGCATGCAAGGCCCCCAACAGCTTTGACAAGTGTGCAGTAGGTCGGGGCCAGCAACTGTTGAATCTTGAATTGAAAAGAAACCAGAACAAGTGCTTCCGATTTCTCTGCCTCTGTCTCACGAGCACAAGCTCACAATTCTGAGACGCATCTCCCCTTGAAGTTCCTTGGAAACTCCAAGGCCGCCATTTGTCCCCAGTGTGGTGAGGAAGCCATAGGCAAAGGCAGAGCCCACATTGATGGCCATGTAAAACCTCCGATTTCTGAGAGCCAGGGCTGATGATTTACTGGATAAACTGTTCAGCGGCTGTTTGTTTGGTGCACGGGGAACTTACAAGCTTTCCACCCCTTCAGAGAAGCTCATGCAATCAGGATCCACTCCAACTACCTCAAGACACTGTACACTGAAGACCCTACCAAGCCAAAACTGTCATTAGCAGCTGACTACGTTAGCATTTTGATTATCCTAGACTCAAAGTAAACTGAATGCCTTGCGCATGACAGGACCGAGGCACCACTGAAAGAACTGCTCCTGAGCTGCAACCTGCTCTGGGTCTGTCATGTCGTACTGATCCTGGCAGCGGACAAGGCTGCGCACTTGCGAGTGAAGCAACTGCACGATCCGGGAAAAAAAGACTGCCATAATTGTTCTCCATGCGAGCACTGCATATCCCTAGGGTCTGTAGGGGCCTCCCACGTTGAGAAATCCCCTTGTGAATCATGTCCCTACGCGCTAAACACGGCACGTCAAGGCTCTGCGCCGAAGTTGGAAATGTTCGACTTGATGCCGGCAGTGCCCATCGGCACGAGGACTAACAAGGCAAACCTCGGCAGCTTCTATTTTTTTCTTTGCTGCCACTGCTGCTGCTGCTACAAAATCATCATGATGGTGGTAAAGCAGCAGCAGCAGCAGCAGCAGCAGCCTCGCATGCATAGACTGAGGATAGAAATTACGGCAGGGCCGCAACAGGATTAGCTGATACATCAGAGTCCCACAGTCAAGGTCAAAGTGTGCGAGGCGTGCTCAAGCTTTCAAAGACAGTGCTCTGCCAACTGCTGCCAGTGCGATCACTGTTACCAACAGCACTGTGCAGCCGAAGCCTAAATCCAGAAACTGCAACTCTTCGAGCAAAACCCTACATGTGCTATAGTCTAAACTCCTTGTATCCCCCTTAATAACTCCCATAATACTCCCCCAAAACATCCTCTGCCTGGTACAGCCCTACCCAGGCACCTTCATCCTCAAGCCCTCGACAGGTTGGACATAAAAAAACGGATTCTAGGCATGACCTGTTCCCAATGGCCTCCTCTCTTTGGGGTCCATAGAAAGATTGATAGGGGAGAAGGTTTGAAGCAGCAGAATTTCAAGCAGAGCAGAATCCGGAGACTCCGGGGGTCCTAGAACACCCATGTGCGGAAGCCATGCCCAACTCTGTTCCTCAATAACTTCTATAACCCCTATATAATCCCTTTGTAATCCCCTCCCCAGATAACCCGCATATAATCCCTATGTAGTCCCTATATAAGTACATCATTTGCCAGGTAGCAGGTAGAGACCTGAGCTCATCAAGCCTGGTGCAGCCGCAGCAGTGGCAGCCAGACCGCCAATGCTGTAGATAACCTGAGCACGCTGGTTAAGGGCTTAGGGATCACTTCCGGTTATTGGTTCTTAGTAGGGAACAAGGAACATATTGGGGCTATATCAGGATAATGGAAAAGAGAATGGAAACTATTATAGTATAATAGGGTATCTACTGGACTTTTAGTAGGGAATAAGGGAACGTTATCGCTATATAATGCCAATACAGTATATTCCCTTCTGCCCTACTAAGAACCAGCTGACAAAACAGCAAGGCCACGAAGATTTGATCTTAGGGCCCAGATGTCTTGGGGGGTCAGGCTGCAGGTTGGCGTATGGACTTCAGGATTCACTGGCAAAGCCGGTTTTCGGGCGTGTTCGTTTCAATGTAGGACTTCATGATTGTACTGCTGCTCTGTAGGTAGGTACTGCAAAAGGAGGGGTCGTGATAGGACACTCTGGGACCTGCAGCCTAAGCCATCATCGGTGGAGTAGGAGAAGTAGGAGGAGTAAAAGCAGGAGAAAGAGTCGGAGCAGGAGAGGGCATTAATTGTAATTCAACTGCGAGCCATGATGTGTTTTTGCTTAAAACGCATTTTGGGGTTCCGAAATCCACCTATTGTCATCCCCCTGATAACTAACATCCCTGAAACCCAAGGCTACGGATGGGTTGCTTCATGAAAGTCATGGTTCTCAACTTGACAACCAAATTCAGAACGATGATACCATCAAGCCCAGCTGCCCCAAAGATGATGATCGTGCGGAAACGTCCAAGCTGGACATCTGCCACCCATCCTGGCTTGGGCTTTAAGGTTTTCATGCTGGGGCGTAGTCAGTGTAGTCTTTAAAACTGGGGGAGAGGGCGGAATTCCGGAACTCCATGATATTCAGGCCCTAGGGGTTGAAAAGATGGTGCTGATGCCAATCATTGAAGGCTGCGGCTGCATGAGTACCACCTTAAAAGCAGCAGTAGCAGCAGGCACGTCGGCGACAATAGCAGAGACGTCAAGGGCTTCAAACGCACAGGGCCGCCTGCGAAGACGGCCCAAGCCATGCAAAGAGTGGACATGGCCGTCGTCAAGGCATTGGCCTGACTTTGGCTGTTTTAAGTTATGTAGTGGGAAGCTTTTGGGTCTGCACTTGCCTGTGTTTCCCTGATTACCACGCGTAACTGAAAGGAGGCGGCGAACTTCTCTTGGTCCTTTTATGGTCGTTCTTTCCGTACGCTGGCTGCTTGCTATAGGAGCATACAAGGGGACTCCTACGTTAATGAATAACTATACCTCAAAATTGGTGGTGCCTTGCTGCTCTGAAGGACCGTCGCATTAGGGGTCATAATGAGGTGCTTGCCAATCATACTCCTCCTCCTGCTAGCAAATTCGAGTATTCTTGAGGCCTAATGATGACTTACTGGGAAGTCTTCTATTGCCGAGCTGTTTGAGGGTGGCTCTGCATGGAGGTTGACCTTGACTGCCTTGCATGAACATACGGAAGGCTGTTCATTCTTTGGAGAACAGGATCCCATAATCTTCTTCCATTTCTTCACAGGAATTGAAGTTGGAAGATGGGTAGACCTTCAACTCCCACAAGCAGAACCAACCTGCGCCAGGGAATAGCCGGTCTTCTCTAAGAAGAATTCCTGTCCAGACAGGTGGCTTGGCAGCGCAAGATGGTGCGGTTCAGGCATGACGAATATGAAGTAATATCACCTGACAACGGTCGCGAAACCCAGAGCTGTCGTCACTTTTGGACTCGTCTCGCGTCTTTGCGTCTCAA